AATGATAGTGATTGATGTTTTCAGTATCTGCTACTCCCCTTCTGCTTTTTGCAGATTACCAAGTGAATGAATCTGCTGTCCAGGAACTGTCCTAGAGCCAGATCAGCATTGCCTGGGTGCATGATGGATCTTTGCTGACAGTGCATGAATTCCTCTAGGATCTCATCAGTATTGATTCCTTAGGATGATGTCAAAGTTACACAATTTTTGCTTCATCCTCTTGATGGGGGTCTGCATGAGTATAGATAGGGTCAGCAGAAAAGCAACAAGAACTGCACCAGACCGAAGGAAGACGTTGCAAGTCACACAAAGAATTCTTGCTGAATTTTTTTGAAGTTGGTGCTAAAGGTCAGATGTGCCTATGAAGAAGATACATTCCTCTTTAAAAACCTTGCTCCTAAGCACTGCATTATCAATCACATATTCCAGCTGTTGGTTGATCAGGGTTGCATTTACTTCTGCCATGATGCTTGAATCTAGAGTTTACTTTTAAAGTCAGAACTAATCAATTTTAAATCTCTGCTTTCCTACTTGCTGTGTGATTGTGGGTAAATTATGTAACTTCTCTAAGCTTCTGTTTTCTTAACTATAAAATGGAGGTATTAATGGCACCAACCTCCTAGGGTTGTTGTGGAGATTAAATGAGATGATGCAGGCTTAATGCTTAGCACAATGCTTGCTTGCAGGAAGCCTCCAGGAAACGTTAGCTGCTGCTTTAACCACTTGGATCCACAGGCCTACCTCTCTCTGTAAGTGGTCAAAGGTTTTAGGTAACTTTTTTAAGCTGCTTTTCACCATATTCTTCTCATGTAATCCTTGATAAAGCCTCCTAGATTGTTCCTGCAAATATATCTTTCTGTAATATTTGTTTGCTCAGTGGGATTATTTGATAATATGGTAGTTATTTTTTGCTTTTTTCATTTCTTTCAGGTATAATGTAATTTTTTCAGGCTTTGATCCTGCTGGTTTGTGATAATATGCATGGCTTTCTTAACCATCTTTGTGTACTTTTTGAGTAAGTTTTCCATACCAACAGCTGGGGTAACACCAATAGCTCAAAGAGAGAATCTCAGGCTTTGTTGTTTTCCCACAATCACCATGTGAGCGTTTGAATCTCTGTATGACAGAGCTGGAAGGACAATTAGAAACTAAAGTAAAGGCAACTTTCTAGCTGGAATTTAGATCAAAGAAGATATTATCCTGGCAGGTCACTCAATAATAGAGAGAGCCCAAAGGCTTCCTGTCATAGGCTCCTTGACAACTGTAATTCTTATAGGCTCTTCAGTGATACTTTGTAGTTCATACTGCTGTGTGTTATAATGAAAGAGCATGCACCAAGGAGGAATACTATGCTAATTTCTAAAACAGAGTTCTCATGGTACTCATGCTATGAAGTAAAATCAATCCACATAAACATATTGAACATATATTCAATGATCCATTTTTGTGGATCCAACAAAATTTTACTCAGCCCCTTATAATAAATGTGACATGAAGATTCATTAAATCATTTCTGTCCTAAGAGTGTGGAAATTTATACCTTGTGTGGGATATGAACAACTTAATATGTGAGTTATTTTCATCCCACATTACATCTGAGGAATTGAGGCTGTGACTTTCTAAGATCACATGACTACAAAGTGGCCCAACTGGGATTTGACCCCAAGCCTGTGGGACTTCAAGTCCTGTGCTTTTACCACTAGAATTCCCCAGTGTTTTTCCCTCACACCAACTAATTCTTTGACACCAGTTGGTTGTCCTACAATTTAATTCATTTCTGACCCCTATCCTGAAGCTATTCAGGAACCCAACAAGAATCACCTCATTAGAACAAAAGTTGCTCCCACCATCCAGGGAATTCCGAGGCATTGAGGAGCTCTGTGTCAGAAACCGAGGCCAAAGACCAAATATGAAAACACAATGCTCCTACAACCTTTATTGATTGAGAAATTGCAAAGGTTTTAGGAGCTCTTGCCAAGAGCCAAGGATGAAGACAACAATATTACTTCACAGTATTACATGTTCTGAGATTCTTTTTCTCAGGGTCTTAGCCCCAGGCTTAGTTCCTATTATGTTTCAACAGCCTATAGAATTTGATCATTTGTATTATATTTTTCTCTGACAAGCCATGTGGTCAGGACTTCAGTATACTTGTTGATTGGTTAAGGTCATTTGTTTCATCACAATGCACATGTCCTTGAGTTTCAAAATGATGTGTGAATTAAAAAAATATGAAATCCCTCCAGAAATATCCAGGTGCATTTTTATGAAACACAGTTTGATTATGTCTTTCCAGCATCTTGGGCCACTAGCCCTTTTTCCCTCCACACTCCAGTCACACAGGCTAGATGGTAGATGCTTCTCAAGGACATGATAATGCACATTTCCTATACTTTTGTCCAGAAGGAATTTGCAATACTGGAGCGGCTTAGCAGTAAGGAGGCAGGGCAGTGCTGTGATTATGGCATAGCAGTTCAAGTTAGAAAGATCTGAATTCTAATGCTGGCTCCACTGAGACTTCTCAACTCTCTCTTGGAGTCACTCTTCTCATCTGTAAGATGGGAATAATAATAGCATATTCCTTACAGGTTGTATGAGTATTAAATTAGACCAGGTGTATTAAGTACTTGGTACATAAATTCCTGCTATTGTTATTATGGGGGAATGCAGTAGAGTCTCAGTACTCTGTGCATTAATGGCTTTAATGACCTTTATTTCATCTTTATCATTTCCATTTCTTAGTGTACATGAATGCCATTGAATTTCAAAACCAAATGTGGAAGGACCCTAATGAAATGATTAGCTTCTTTAGTGTGACACATATTTATAAAAAAGGAAGGCAAATGTCAAAATTTGTGTTTCCTTTTTCTCTAAAGAATGAAAACCAAATAAGGTTAGTTAAGTAATAAAATCAAGTACATTTAATTATCGTGTTGTGAGTTTGTATAAATTAGCTAACCTCCCTGGTCTTCAGCTTCCTCCTCTGCCAAAGGAAGGAGTTAGACCATTAATTACACTGTTTCTTTCCACTTAAGTTTGATGCAATCAAGCACCACCATATACATAATATTAACAAGAAGCTATACAGTTATCTTTTGTATGCTCAAAGACAGTTATTCTTTTCTTCTTAGTCTTCTGTTATTAATCATAAGGAAATTTGGGACATCTTTCTTTCTACTGGACATATATTCCTAATCTCTATAATGAATTCCAGAGCCTCTCTTTCTAGATCTGTGTGGACTGGTTGCTCCAGAATAGGGCTAACCTTTTAGAGAAGGGCACCTTGCCTTTTTTCAATTGTCCCCACAAAGACATCGGGCGCTGGGTAAGATAGATATAGGTCTCCCTACCTGGATAAAGGGTTTGAGCCAGGAATACTGGGTCGAAATTCTAGAAGTGAATCTTCTCTAGGACTAGGGGCATAACTTCATTATTTACCTTTAGTTCAGAAGTCTGAATGAATCATTTTCAAGGACAGATTCCTCCAAAGGACTGAAAAATCTGTCAGTATGGGAGGTTCACAAAGACTGTTTGTGAGAAAATTGAAATGTGGACAAAAGGGGTCTATCAGGAGAGGAAATGCTTTTTGTCTGTCATTCAGTGGCTGATGAGGGAAGGACTTATAGCTAGGTCATCAAAGATATTCACCGTAGTGTTTTAAAATAATAAAAAATTGGTAACAATACTAGAGAATTCTTAAACAATTTATTATATGATTATAGGATAAAGTATTATGTATCAATTACGAATGATGCTTATAAAGAACACTTATGTGTTATGGGAAAATGATCCAGATATAACAGATAAGGGTATATATCTGTTGGAAACTATAAATAAGACATGATGCTAAATATGCAAAAATCTTAATAGAAAAACACATGGAAGTCAATGGACCAGAATATTAAAAGCATTTATATCAGGATGGTAAGATTATGAGAAAGTTTTGTTTTAATGATTATTTTTAACATTTAAAAAGGTAAATGCATCTTTTTCTAAATTTTCTATATGAAATATGTCTTACTTTTATAGTCAGAACAGAAATCAATACAAATTATCTTTTAAAAAACTCACATATACAAATCAGAAACTCAAGTAATCATATAAAACTCAGATTTTCAGGAAAGCAGGAAAAATTACTGGCCGAGTTTTGAGCCAGGTGCCAGAAGATGAAAGCAGAGTTGGCCACATCAGTGGGATGACCCTAAATGCAGAAGGCCTGGCCAGCGGGAGGGGCTGCAGAGGAGTGGTGATGGGCCTTGATGAGCCTGCTCTGGAGCCTGCTCTGGAACCTGCTCTGGAGCCTCTCTTCTTGCCTATCACTTAACGTTCAATGATCCTTGAGGGACATAGAGAACATGTGATACCAAAGGGCTTTTGGCCACCTTACTACCCCACTAAGGACATCTGAGGTTATTTGACACTCCCTTTGCTTAGGGAACTTCCTCTTCTCAGTAGGCTGGCTGCTTGCAAGTAGGGTGTGTTTCTCAAAGTTCCTAGAAGTGAGCCGGGTTGGGGGGGGGGGGGGTTGTGCGGGGAGGCTTGGTATAAACTGAGGAAGGTGTGTTAAATGCTCCATAGGGTTACCTATGTCCAACACAAAGGTTCAGTTCCTAATATTTATGATTCCTTTCAACACTGATATGGATGTTTCCCAAATCCTCAGTATAATTCTTATTGTTGTCTTTTTGACACAGTCTCTCCCCATCCTATGAAAATTTCTCCTCCATGAGAGACTTTATTTGTCCTTTAGAATACCTTGTGTGTCTGGATTCCAAGTCCCAGTTTTTCACAGCTCTGACCCCTGACTGTAAAGAGTGATTCTAATAAGCCCATTATAGAGTGACTGACATTCTTTTTCTGTGACAAGAAAAGGCTGCCTTTAAGAGAAAAGTCTAAAGTCATCAAAACAAGGTAATATCCTGTGTGAAACGATGCTTTGTGGTTTGAGTATGTGTGGTTTGATCATGTGCCCTGAGAGAAATAAGTTGAAGGTGGCCGTGGATGACGGAGACTCTCGGGCCTTGGCAAGTGCGTCTTCAGCCCACCTCACACTTTGGGCTCCTCGGGGAGGAGGGGCTGCAGCCCTGACCCACCGTTAGCACCATGATCCTCGGGCTGCTCCTGGCTCTCAACCTCTTCCCCTCCATTCAAGTATCAGGTAAACAATTTTGATTTATTTCTTCCTCTGAGTTTTACTTTTGAGGTTTTTATATGGTTTGATTCATTCTGAATTTCAAGCAACTTGTGAAATTTTGGTATTTGAAGTGCAATTTTGCTATAAAATGGTAACCTATTATTTAGAAGCTCCTCAGTTCTTAGACTACATGATAATACTTTAATGAACCTCTTTTGAAATTAAATAAAATTCATTTAACTTTTAGTTGAAAATGCCACATATATGAATTGTTTTTTAAGTTAAGAAAATTACTATAAGCAGTTTAGTTTTGAAAGCTCTGGAATTAGACTGCCTGGCTGGGTTCATATCAGAGATTCTTTTCTTATTAGCTAAGCTCAGCCTAGTGTTTAACTCTCTAAGCCTCAGTTTCCTTATGTGTAAAATGGGGATGATAATAACCACACCTCAAGGTCATTATGAGGATAAAATGATATAATCCATGTAAAATACTTAGTGCAGACAGCTCTTGTCTAGCAAGGTAAGTGGTACTTGTAATTACTATGTCTGCCAGAGTTGAATCAGTGTCAAAATGAATTCTGGAGTCATCACAGAAATTGGAATGATACAAATGCTAATACATTTCTTTCTTTCTTTTCTTTCTTCTCTCTCTCTCTCTCTCTCTCTCTCTCTCTCTCTCTCTCTCCTTCCTTCCTTCCTTCCTTCTTCCTTCTTTCCTTCCTTTTTTTGATAATCAGCTGAAATAGTTTTTTTACATGACAATCCTTTAAGTTCCCAGTGATGGTGATGAGGAAGATGATATATCTAACACTAATAGAGAACCCTATTTCAGATGAAGAGATGGAAGAGTAGGAGTGCTAATCGGCCCAAGGATATATAGGTACCAGTTGTTGGCACCAGGGTCTGATGCTAGAGCCTGTGCCCTTGAGCATTATGCTAGCTCCCCTAACATGATGTGGTTTATAATTTCATAGCTCCAGATACATCCAAGTCTAAACCATCTTTAGAAAATCACAATTCCAAACAGAATGAACTTGTTGCTTTGGTGGGCTAGAGTAAGGTGTCTGTTTAACTTATTCTCAGAGTTAGCAAAGGGTCCTGTTTGGCTCAAAAATTGGGCTGATAAGGATTGATGGGCATGTTTAAGTATAGTTATTTTTTTTCCTTGAAGATACTTTGAAAAGACACTATCTTCAATTTTCTTTCTCATTTATTTTGGTGTGTGAAGACTGCCTTATTTGTTGTTCTTAAACATCATGTGCATGTGCTTCAAAGGGGATGATTTCCCAACCTGCACAAGTACAATAGTTACATATATACCCACCTATTTTGTTGTCTGATGTGCCAGCAAGAACATTTGCAAATTGTGTGTGTATTTATAAAAGCTATTCATATAATGAAAGGCTGGTGATGAGACAAGTTTTGCCCCAGCATCTACTACTAAGCATTTAGAGATACTAAATTCATTTAAAAAGTATCTTTAAATTTATTTTTAAAAAGGTCTTTAAACTCTATTTTTAAGAGATCTTTAAAATTTATTATAAAATAATATTTAAAATGTGTTAATTTCTTAGTCAGTAAAGAATAGGCAGAAAGGAAAGAGAAGACTCACCCTGACAGACAGAAAATTTAAATGGATAATTGTACACAAAATACTGTTCTGATGTGTTTTGTGAACAACCATCTATCATCAGCTCATTCACTGTCCTTTGAAGATATTTTTTGTAAGACTCAAAGCTCTCTATTTTTTCCTTTAGAACATCTATTCAAAGTGGGGGGAGTAGCTAAAAAAGCAGTTGGAGGGTTCATACATGCAGAACCTTTAAACTTTTCAACTTAAAAATATACCTACCTTTCAAACACCAAATCACTCTCTTAATAACTTTTCAGATTTGATGCTGAGTGGCCATCTAATGAAGTAGGAAAGGGGTTGGGTAGAGAGGGCACTTTTGAAATGGCTCTTCCAATAAAAGAACTTATGAAAAAACACAATGAAAACATACACAAATGTAGGATCCATTCTAATCAATGGTGCAAAACCTTTCATGTGCTCTTTGTTTCTCTGTATTCATCCTCTATGAAGAAATTAGAAAGATAAGAAAATTCTCTGGTTAAAGTGTAATTGTCCTCCCTAGGATTGTGAAAGATTATTGGTATGTCCGTGTTGAGGTGCATGCATGCGTGCATGTGTGTAAAGAATGGTTATTTTTTCCCACTAATTTAATAATCCTAACTCATTGGCTCACAGCACAGCTTAGAATTCTAAGCAGCTTAAACCTAGCCTGATTCTTTATGATTTTAATGACACTGTAGAAAGATCTTTATGGCTAAATTAAAGAAGTATGGCCTAGAAAGTGGAGATCTTAATTTAGACATTTCCTTTACTAAAGTTACTTGTTTTCTACCAGATTTGGATAATTGTGCAACTGAGATCCATAATAGAGGATTTTTTTGGACTTCAGAATATGAGTCCACCTTACTATAGCAGGTCCTTGAAACGGCCGGTGATTGATGATGGAAGGAGTGTGCATCTGATGCATAGCATTGTCCACAGATTTGCAGCCAATATTGGTTATTTTCCAGCAAGCTAATTATTCAGCATGAAGGCAAAATCAGGACCACACTACTTTTGTTTTCCATGGGAGTATTTATTTTCATTTCTCCCCAAACCTTAGCAAATAAACTGTCAAGATGGCTAGTTTGAATAGAATTGATTTCTCCAGTGGTGGTGCATTTCTCTCAGCCTTTCTTTTTCTGAGAGAGGCATGGAAGGCTGAAAAAATGGTATTTAATTATTTAAATAATCAGCAAACACAGTGTTTTGAAACTTTATTTTTAGTTCAACAAATGACCCTGATGAGGTACCTGTACACAAAAAGAAGTGATTTACTTCTCATAGCAAAGTGTTTCCTCTGAGGCTGGACTTGGGAAAGTAACATAAAAAATATGAACATCAAAAATGCATGGTAATCGACAGACATGTATCTATATGACAGTCAATATGCTACAGCCAGTTTTTCTGAGTGGCAAGAAAACAATTGGGCATTTTGTCATTTCAAGTGATCTTGATGGATATTTCAAAAGTATAAGTGTTGCTTGAGAATTTTGTTTTCTCTACTACCATACCCTACAACAAGATACTACTTTTTATTTTTCTAAAGGTAACCATCTAGAAAGGACTTTTAAAGCCAGGATTATAAAATTAATATGAATATATCAATATCAAGAAGTAGAATGAGTCATTTTCACAGACAGATTAGAAATAGAAATGAATCTGTGGTCCTAACTTTAAAGCTCTCACATTTGAACCTCTGCTCAGGGCGGGGCGGGGATCTCACCATCTCTCTCTCTCTTTAGACATAGACCATCCTCCTTCTTAATGTCTTTGTTCTGTTATCACGAGTGTAGAAATTCCACGCACCTACCACTTAGCTGTAATCCTGCGTGAATATCTTCCTCAGAGTAGTTCCTGCATGAGGAGTGCACTAGATTCCACTCACCCTGCAAGATGTAGTGTGGGGACGTGCACCCCAGCCGTCCTAACCAAGTTCTGTGAGCTAAAATGTTCAGCACTATCTACTTACTTTCCCCCCTCTTTTTAAAGTTTATTTTACTTTACTTTTTAAGTGGGAGCAAAAGAATGCACACAGGCAGTGAACAGTGGGGTCGATTCATTGGGTGGCTAATAGCTTTGATCCCTAAAACTCCTAGTTAGTGCCAGGAACTAAGGACAAAGCTCACAGTGCCTTCAGAAAAAACAAAAGCACCCACCTGAATCCAACAATCTGCATGGGAAAGCAGACCTGTGGGCCTGGGGAGGGAGTGGACCTGTGCTAATGCTTGTGCTCTCCCCACCCAGGTGCTCAAGGGCAGGCTTATGTTCTGCCACGCAGGGTGGAGGGCCTCACTGTCCCCAGTAGGGAGAAAAATCAGTGGAGGCCCTTCCCCCATCACTTTGAATTCTGGCGTATCTGCTTGTGGCAAAAGCCTCATGAAACCTCACCATCAGCACCATTCTTAGCTTGGATAAGCAGAAATAAGGTCACTTATAATGCTTTAAGGTTTGTCCCCATTGGCTATCCCCTCTTCCCATCACCATTTTTTGGTGCCTATTAACCTCGTATGCTCTCCTTTAAAGCAAAAATGATGAGAGAGAGAGAAAGGGGAGAAAGAGGGGAGAGAGAGAGAAGAGGATGAACACATTATCTACAGAGGCATAAGACAAAGCAGAAACTTCAAGAGAGCAAAAATTATAATAAAGACATAGAATACGCACACCAGGACAGGGAAGGCACAGGTTGTTTTTAGGATAACCAGGGACACTGTCACCAAAACTTCCCCTGAGTGTTGGGCTAAGGACCTAATACAAGGGGAGTCAGGACATGGACAGGGGTGGCATGGGGAATGGGGATAGACAGGATATGTGAGTAGAAAACTCCTGAAAGAAACCCAAGGAAGCCAAGGAACTTAAGTCTTGTCATCCCCACTCCAGCTGGTTTGATACCAGGTGTGACGTTCCCGCATTTTCCAGGTTAGAGCATCTCAGGGGCAGGCGGGCCTGGAGCAGGAGGCAGAGGGACTCCACCAGCAGGTGGCTGCAGCTGCTGTGGTTGCTGTGGCTGCAGCTGCGGCAGAAGGCACCCATCCTCTTAGGTGTTGTGAGGATTACCCTGGGTCCTAAGATGTTTCCTGGGCATTGGTGGCATACCAGGAGGGGTAGGGCCACTCCCAGGCAGTGGATGTTGGTTGCACTGGTGAGAATCAGGCGGCCTGGCATGGGCTGTCCAGGCCTCACGGAACCTGGACCTGGTATCTGACCTGGCTGGGGTGTGTGGGGCGGTGGCATCCGGTGCTACGTCAGAGCGTAGGGAGGGGTCTGCTGCTGAGGCATCACGCTGCGGTGCCCTGCTGCTCCCAGTAGTGCCAGGCCAGGCCTGCCCTGAGTGCTGCTGTCCTTGGGGAGGGTTCTGCGCATGCTGCTGCTCAGCGTAGTTCAGCAGCTCCATGTGGTACTTCTGGAGTTC